AATGTATGCTCAGTGTCAAATTCATAGTCAATGTCAATTGCTAAAAACAATAACTGTGTTTGTTGAACACATACTCTGTTTCAGGGTTTTCAGTGAGCCATCTTACATAATCCTCTAAGTCAGCATTTCTCAACTGGAAACCCCCAGAATATTCCACGGGGTCACACAAAAATAAATTTAATGGGAGTCACAGCATAAGACTAGGGGTCTACAGTCGGGACAGGAAGGCCACGGGAAGAGAACAAGTTTACATGGGGACTGTGGCCGGAGGAGGTTAGAGAAAACCTGCTTCAAATAATCACTCGATATTATTATTCCCATAGTGTTTAGTTCATTTAAATAATAGAGACTGTTCTTTGCTCTTACTAGATGGGGTAACAGACTCAGTTGTTTTAACGAACTTACCAAAAATCACACTTGTAGTAACAGTTGCAATGAAATTGACTCCAATTTAACTGACATATTCATTAATTAAGAGGCGCTCTTAAGTGGTACTTGGGGGAATCCAACGGCCTGACCTGTGATTTGTGGCCAAGCAAGCTGCCACCAATTCATTCCGAAGGCCTAGTGGACGCAATGCTGTTCAGATTCTGTGGTGCTGGGGATTACTAGGGGGAGATACAGGAGAGCCTACACTCAGCCATGTTCAAGGAACCGTGGGATAACAGGAATCCAACTTAGGTCCAGAATGTTTTAGGCATGTGCACTTATCATTGTACTATCTCCTGGCACAAAAACTTGAACTGTAAAAATCTAGCCATATAACTATTATTTAAATAATTATTTAATATTATTTAATATTTAAATAATGGGTATCAGAGAAAGCACACTGAATGAATTCACCAAACATTTTAGTTTTTATTATTAATTATGTTTGTTTCTTTATTTGGGGGCCACATCTGGCAATGTTTAGAGGTTATTCCTGTGTTTGCATTCAGCACCCTTAAGGTGCTTGGAAGACCATGTGTGATGCTGGCAATCAAACCTGAGTTGGACATATGGAAAGCAAATGCCTTATGACTCTGTATTATCTCTCTAGTTCTGCCATTTTTAAATGAAAGTGTTGCTTGAATGAGAGTAAAAATAATATCATTTATTTTCTTTTATTTTTCCATTGTCTGAAGCCAGATAATATATACAGGAAAACCAAAGGCTATTTGCTTTTTTTGTTCTCTGACCAAAATTCTGTTGTTCTTTACACAAATCAAAGTTGAAATAATTCATGCATTTAATACTTAGAGAAGTATACAACTTTGAGACCATTAACAACTCTAATAACTTGGCATTCTAAATTATTTTGTGTGCCGACTAAAGTATTCAGAGGTAGTTAGAGTTTCAAAATCTGTTTTATCCTTAAGTCTACTGTTGATTTCAATTCAGTGTTAGATAGTTTTGTAGTTCCTGTCCCTAAAACAAAATTTTTACCTCATGTTGCATTTTTAAATCATGGTACACTGTGATGTTTGACCTCATATTATTTTTCTTTCTTTTGCACTCTATGTATGCCTCTAAATCATCTAAATATATATATATATATATATATATATAGAGAGAGAGAGAGAGAGAGATGTACACACACTCAAATCTTATGCTCTTTGTAAGTCTTTTTCAAAATTGTCAATTATTGCCTGCCCCTTACATATAAGCATGAGTTTTATTAAATTGTACTTTAGCATAGATTTTGTCACTGTTGTTCATCGATTTGCTCGAGCAGGCACCAGTAACATCTCACAACAAATTATGAGACTTGTTGTTACTGTTTTTGGCATATCGAATACGTCACGGGGAGCTTGCCAGGCTTTCCCATGTGGGCAAAATACTCTCGGTAGCTTGCCAGCTCTCCGAGAGGGGCGGAGGAATCAAACTCGGGCCGGCCATGTTGGCTGCGTGCAAGGCAAACGCCCTACCAGCAGTGCTATCGCTTCAGCCCAGCATAGATTCACTCTATAATAAATTAGTGTCTAATATACTGTAAGTTATATAACTCACTTGATGGAAATTGTCTCACAATTGAGAAAATGTGTCAGGATAGTTTTTAGAATTGTGTACAATTATTTTGCTTTACTACACCTTGTCTTTGATCTTTTTAAATTAAATTAATATTGTGTTATAATGTTATACTTTGAACATGTATCATTGAAAATCAACACATGCATATATTACACTATGTTTACCATTAAAGCTTTTTATTTTATCCATCCCTTAATCTTTTAATATTTCAGCTTTATTTTAAATCTGAAGAATTTTTGTAATGCTCTGAAGACATAGGACTTATAAAATGATGTGCTTGTTAAGTATGTAGTTCGTTTTGGAAACAAATGTTGATTTTATCAAGTTAGAGGTAGCAGGATAAAAGTTCTTGATTAAAATTCAATTAGTGTGTTATCTGAATGTACTTAAAAGAAATCTTTGACATGTTGATCAGATTAAATTGATTTAATCTCAGCTGAAACTTAAGTTCAGCATTAGTCATGGATAATTACTGTCAGAAAGGATATGTTCTAGCTATTCATTTACATAATATGAGCTTTCTTTTGGATTGCATATGAATTAATTAAATTTTCCTTAATTGCAGGAACTACATGCAACACATCGCTTCTAGCTAGTATAAAAAAGTTCATTAACTTCTAGAAAATAGCTGATATCCTAATACAAACCTCTGAACTGGCGTGCAAGATTTAGGAGAAAATATTTAAGAGAATCTGGGAAAGAGAGTCACTAAGATATGGCAACAATGACTTTGTTTTAGCAGATCTTTTTTTTCCAAAATGTAAATTATACTGTTAGTGGACTCAACTTGTGACTAAATGTAAACTGATCAGACTCAGCGAACTTTGAACTTATTCTTCTATTAAAAAAAATCCTTCTATGCACCTTCAACTAATAGCTCAGGAATTTGATTGATAACGAGATATTAACATTATATACATATATAATTCAAATTCATACAAGCCACAACTATGTGAATCAAGTTCCTCTGTGATAATAGCAATTCAATTTTGGGACCTTAGAAAAATAATTAAAATAATTGTTCTTATAAGGAATTCTTTCCAATAGATTTTAGTTATTTTAGATTTATGATTTGTATAAGTTTATATTTTAAACATATATTTCACTGATAATAAATAATGTAAAGAAAAAAGACGTATTCAGTATTAATGTATTCAGCTAGTAAGCGAATATTTTAATCATTCTTAACTAATTTCACCCAAATATTAGGAATTGCTTTATTAATGTATTATAATTTTAAATGATTTTATTTTTTATCAACAGTTGGAATAGGGTTTCAAAGATTTCAGACATTTTAACTTTGTTTTTAGAGCATTTGATTTATCATGTTACAAACATATATTTATACAATTTTTTAAATTGCAGTTTTGACAGTGGTGATTTGGGGGTGGTTTTATTCTTGCTAAATTATAGTAAAACACGTGGACTGTGCACTGTGCACTATACTATACTTCCATTGTTCATCGATTTGCTCGAGCGTGCACCAGTAATGTATCCATTGTGAGACTTGTTGTTAGTGTTTTTGGTTTATCAAATACTTCATGGGTAGCTTTCCAGGCTCTGCCATGCGGGTGGAATACTCTCATTAGCTTGCCCGGCTTTCTGAGAGGGGCATCAAACCCAGGTCGGCCGTTTGCAAGGTAAACGCCCTACCCTCTGTGAAAATAAAAGAAAATGGATTTCCTTTAAAATAATAAAAGGTGTTCTTTGGGTGGGGGTGGCAGTTCCAGTGAAATGGGCATGCATTGTGGTGCTCAAGGCTTACTTCTGGCTCTTCATGCACTGGTTACTTCTAGTGGGATCCGGAAAACATAGAGTTCAGTTGATTAAACCCAGGTGAGCAGCGTGCACAGCACCCTACTCTATTGCCCCAATCCCTAAACATATTATTTAAATGAATTTTACATGCATATTTTCGTGTGCAATTAGTCTTACAAGTATTACAACGTCACGGTCACGGTCCTCCCGTTGTTCATCAATTTGCTCAAGCGGGCCCAGTAACGACTCCATCCTTAGACTTGTTGTTACTTTGCCATGCAGGTGAGATACTCTCAGTAGCGTGCTGGGCTCTCCAAGAGGGGCGGAGGAATCGAACCCGGCTTGACCAGGCCAGCTGCACGCAAGGCAAACACCCTACCTTTGTACTATTGCTCCAGCCCTACAAGTATACTATACAAGTATTACAATAGTAATAATTATAACTTTAAGTCAAATAGAACTTTTTATTGCTAGAACTGATAAGCTCATCATGGTACATTATTCCTACTTCGCAGATGAGGCATCTGTGTTACAGATGTGTTAGGCACCCACCCAACATTGTAAAGTTTGTAATTAATGAAGCTGCAATTTAACTTTAGATCAGAATTCATATTCTTTATATGATGCCTTCAGCTGGAGAGATGTTTTTTACCTCATATGCTGGGTTACTAAGAACTTAACTATAGTTTAAGTTTATAACCTCTAAAAGCTTTTATAGAACCTGGTACTCTGGGGTGTGGGGGAGGGCACTCAGGACCACTTTTGATGGGCCTATTTCCACCCCCACCCCGCATCCCCATTCCCACCCCCAGGCTGCTGCTTTGAAGGCAAGTGGTGCAGTGGGGTAGCAATTTTGGGTGATGGTGCAGCAACAGCCAGTGGCATGGTTCTGGGAGCCTCCTTTTATACTCCAATCTGGGAGAAGCATCCGTGAGTTCTGGAGGGTGGTTTATGAGGAGATTATCTGGTGCCAGCAGGGTGTGGCTTATGGGTGTGATCCCTGAGTCACTGGGCTCTGGGGAAAACAGTCGGAGGATCTCTGTTCTGGTCCCAGTTGAGTCCAGAGTCCAAGGTCACAAAGATATATATATATATATATATATATATATATATATTTATATATATATACTTATAGTTATATATAGTTATATATATCCTTTGAAACATGGATATGCAAATATGTATTATTTGAAAATATTTTTTGATGTGAGGTTTCTGTTCTTTATCTTTAGGATTTCGGCTGCAGGAAGGCCCTTTAGGATCTTGTGAAAATAAATACTGTGGTTTGGGAAGGCACTGTGTTATCAGCAGAGAGACTGGGGAAGCAGAATGTGTTTGCATGGACCTATGCAAAAGGCACTACAAACCGGTGTGTGGATCTGATGGAGAATTCTATGAAAACCATTGTGAAGTGCACAGAGCCGCTTGCCTGAAGAAACAAAAGATTATCATCATTCACAATGATGACTGCTTCTTTAAAGGTAAATGAATGGTGACATGAAAAAGGCACCCTCCTTTATTATCTTTTCTCTCCTAAATAGCATGTTTAAGTGTAAACTTTAGCATGGGTGATTGTGTATCAGCAGGTATCTGAAAAGATAAAGGGGAAAAAAAGTTGGCTTAGTTATTTATATCAATATAAGACAAGTATATAGAAATTCACTCAGATATAATCTTGATACTCAATTTTGAGGGTAAAGCTAGCCAAAATATGACTCAAAATTTAATATAGCTTACAGCACTGCACCATATGGCTTCCTAATCATGGCAGTTATCTTAGGGAAAGGATTGGCCAATTCAGTCTACAGGCAAAATCTACAAAGTGAAAAGTACCTGGAGTGGAACTGAGGGAATAGAGCAAGCCAAGTCTTGCTGTGATAACATCTCATTTCTTTCTGATTAAAACTGATGGCTTCAATTTGCAACATATAATTCAGATTATATGGAACCTATAATGCCTACTAAAATAGCTATGAAAAACTAATGATATTTTCAGCTAGTAAATCTGAAGACAATAATTTAAAGTTAAGGGTACTTTGATTTATTATTGTAGTATTTGGAATTGCTGGTAATTGTGGAAAAGTACTGCTCAATTAGGAGCTTGACAAATGATTTTATTTAGTACAAAATAAAAGATAGAAAATTGTATAGCTATAAATTTACTTTTGCTTGTATGTTTTTAATGTATGGGATATTTCTTTATTAAAAGACACAATATATAGTAAAATTTTAAAGTTTTAAATAGCAGGACTTCTGTCATTTGGGTAAGTTAGTGATGGACCTGGTATCTATTCTCCTATGACTTCCATGTTCCCATTAGTTGAAATGTTTCAGAAGTATAAATTTACATACATGTTTAAAAGCATAGTTGCATTATAATACTTAGCTATAAATCACGGTTTATAACATGGTGTACTTTATACACTGCTTAAGGTTAGGCAAACATTTTACAAAGCACCTATTTTCAAACTTCACATAATAAGGAAATGTCTCCAAGGTGATAAAAAAAATGACACACACAACTTTTCAAATTATATTATAGGTAATGATCTCTGGACATTGTGGCTACTAGAAGTCCTTTGTCAGAGCTGCAGTAAAACATAAAATATCATCTACTCACCATAATGAGCAAAGTACATCTTTGAATACATGAATGGGTAGCATTATAATTGATACATCTTTTACAAAAAGAGAGAAGCTGTTTTGTTTCATTTGAGTTAATCTTTCCTTTTCTATAAAATTGATTTTACAAATATTTACTTTATTAGCATTGCATTTCAAACTTATAAAGGATAATTTAACGTATGTAAATAGCATGCTGTTAGGTTGACTTATAATCATGTTTGAAAGATGAGGTTTGTCTAGTGAATACTCAGAAATGGAAGAAAACATTAATGCCATGCGGGAAAAAGTGTGGTGTATTTTACATCCTGTGGTAGATATGGGTACATATATATACATATATATGTGTGTGTATATATATATATATATGCAAAACAATATATAAAGTAAGAGATAGTACCTACAATATATAAAGTAAGGGATAGTACCTGTCTTCCTTATGAATACTTTCGAAACCAATGATTTGAAAATTATTTTGAAGACATACTAATGACTGTATCTATAGTTGTCTAAATATTTTCTCACTTATTGTATTAAACTCCATTTATCTTGGTTAACAAATATTAGCACATTTTCTGAGGTTCAGAATTTGTGAATCTTCCTTTTTTCTAATTGTTTTAAAGTGTTTTCTAACTTAGATATTAAGTGTGCAATGATATATTTAACTAGGAAGTAAATAATATAGATTAAAATAGTAAATTTATTGTCCTATTCATTGTTCAGGTTTTAGAAATGAAGCTTTCTGATGGCTTGGCATTGTTGTGAGGTTTAATTAATTCTTGTGATAGTGAATTGCATTTTCTGTGTAAAAATAGAAATTTATACTGTTTCTAATAATCTACCAAAAGAAAAAAAAAACAAAAATAGATGTATTCTATAGTCAACAAATAATAAGATCCTGCACATAAAATCCTATTTGTCATATCTAGGTGATTGCTTTCTTTTTAAAGCAATTTTTTTTTACTTAAATCAGCTACACCCATTTGTTTAGAAATTGACTGTTGCTACTGTGCCACAAAAGTAGAGTTGAATTCTTTTTGACAAAATTCACACCTTTCTAGTAAATTTAATTTATCTTTATAAACTAAAATTTTAAATTTCAGCTCTGAAAAATCACTGGAGCTTTAATATTCATTAAAAATACAAAGCATATCATTGATCTTCTGGTTATGATAATAAATATTACAACGCATTTTGTGATTAATTAAATAGAAGGTTTGGGAGAGAGATGGGGCCCACATCCTGCTGTACTCGGAGATTTTTTCTTGCTCTGTGGTCAGGGATCATTCCTGGCGGGCTTTGAGGAATCGTAGGTGGTGCTGAGCATTGAATTCAGGTCCACTACTGCCAGGCAAGTGCTACAATAACTCGCTGGGCCTAAATAGAATCCAATGTGTGTAAGCAAAAAAAGACATCTGAGTAAGATGATGGATGGCATAAAAGCTGATATTTGGTTTATGATATTGTTTTGCAAAGTACTTATTTTGGTACACAAAGGAAAAACATTTATGGAATCTTTTTATCTTTTAAAATTATTATTATTATTTTGGTTTGGGTACTTATTTGACAGTGCTTAAGGTTATTATCTCTGTGCACAGAGATAACTCTGGGAGGTGCTCAGGGTACCATCTGGGATGCCTTGGATCAAACCAGTGTCAATTCATGAAGGGCATGCACCTTAAACACTGTACTATCCATCTTGCCTTCTTTTTTATGATGTTATTAAAATTAAATGTGATACATATCTCACAGAATAAAAATGTTTAACAAGAAGTATTGCAAAATAACAGTAAACGTTTAAAGTATTTTAAAATAAAATTGGGTTTGCTTTTATCATAAAATACTTGAAATTTATACCAAGCTGTTAGTTCCTTGTATTAAATATATCAAATTTATAATTGGCATTAATTAACTAAAATATATTTACACAGTCACATATATCTATAAACTTTTTAAAAATCTTTATAGGTTAAATTAGAAGTAACTATTATTTATGTCTGCATTGCTAAGATATTTATATTTGTAATTATACTTCTAGTTCAACTTTCATTTCTCTTAGTAACTATTTGTGTCTTCTGAGTGTTCTTAACATTAAATAGTACTGATTTTATATTTAGGCATATGTTTATTTTGTCTATTTTGATTAATATATGATTTGTGGAGCTATAGATAATGTATCCATAAAATCTATGAGTATAAAATAATTTTTATTTATTTTTATTAATATTTATCATGAAGGAAACAATAATATAGAATATTATAGCTTTTGTTTTCTATCATCTACTACTTTATGCTGGTGATTGACATGGCATAAAACTTTCTGCTTAAAAGCAATGCCTAGATATTCACTGTGCTAAAAGGTTTTCCTTAAACTTATTTTACAGGCCCACTCTCTTCCCCAAAGTGCTTCTAACAGTGTAATACATATCATTAGTTATAATAAACTAGGGTTCTTTTAGAATACAAGTTAGTTTATTATATAGAAGATAATTTATTTACCTTAGGTGTACATGCTAGCTAGAGTAAGAGGTATTAACTATATAACCTATACCAAAAGGAAGGGGCAAATTAAACTTTTGATGAGAAAACCAACTGAAATGAAACTCTTTTTTTGCCATTTACTCTGCTGAAAATAAAACTGCCATAAAAGCAAATGTTCTGTGCACATAAATGTGGATCACAAACAATACCAACTTGGGAATATGTCTTTTATGGCTTATGTTTATACTGTTTGAATGCGATTTTATAGTTTATTTTTTCCTTGGTAATCTGTGGTGAATTCTATTCCATTTTTAATTTGTTATCTTACCCGATTTTTTTTTAAGGGTAGAATTTAGTAAAATATTTTTTGGCTCAGAAAGTAAGGTGTCTAAGTTATCTAAAAATATATCAGTAAATGGCCTGTACTCATCAGCATGTGCCTTTAATTTTTTGTTCGTTAAGGCATGTTTGTAAACTTCAATTTTATATTAAATAGTCTTGCCTCATGAAAAACAGTAGCCGCTAAGCATATAATTTTGGAAACATAACAAATGCCAATTCTGTTATATTTTGTTTCGTTTCCATAGTCATTCACTTAATCACTTAATCACTTAACTTCCCGTTAATCGTTAATTTGCTCGAGCGGGCACCAGTAACGTCTCCATTTGTCCCTGTCACGTGCTAGTGTAGCCCAATGGCGTCTGTTCGCTCTAGGAACATGAAGAGCCTCAAACCAATCGTTCATGATCTTGATGAGGAAGTCAGACCATCTGGTAGGTGGGTGGCCATGCAGTCTTTTGACATCCCGTGGAATCCAGTCGGTAAAAGCTCTAGTCCAGCGGTTGTCTTTAAATCTCATTACATGACCAGCCCATCTGATTTTTGACACCTTGGCAAATGAGACAGTGTCCCTAATTCTTGATCGTCGACCGATGTCGGAACTCTGGATTCTTTCTCTCATTTGAGTGAAACGTGATATTCCAAGCATAGCTCTTTCTATTCTTCTTTGGGAGACCTGAATAGCGTTCTCATCCTGTTTGCGTAGGGCCCAGGTCTCTGAGGCATATGTTAATGCAGGAAGAACAGTGGCATCAAAGAGATGTGCCCAGAGCTAGAGGTTCTTCGTCCTCTTAGCTATTTCTTCGACGCTCTTGAAGGCATTCCAAGCCACTCTCTTCCTCCTGCGCAGCTCGGGTGCCAGGTCATTTGTCATGTTGACTTCTCGACCTAGGTACACATAGCTGTTGCATTCGGAGATGGTCATTCCTGTTGAGAGAGAGTGGGGTGTCAGGAACGAGGCTGTTTCTCATAAACATTGTCTTCGTAAGATTCAGCTGTAGTCCTACCTTTCCACACTCATGGTCAAAGTCGGCCAGCA